CTGTAAATTCACTTAAAATGTAATCTTCTCATGCTATTCTGTATAAAGAGCTGTCATACTATATGAAGTGAAACTGGATAAACAGGGATATTTCTTTTTTTTTTTTTTTTTTTTTTTTTAAATTAAAATTTTGGGCAGGAACCTGAATACATATGCCATGTTAGTTTACAAGAGGTATTTTAGCATAATTCTTAAAAATCAAAGCAGCATGGCATGTTGAAAGGTGTTTATGTAAGAGAGCAGGTATTTATACACTGCTTTCAGTAGTTTTGTAAATAGCAGTCACACTGTATCTTGCTTAATCATTCATTATTTCCTAACTTGTAGTGAATATATGAAAAAAGCTACAATATTTGTTACCACTCGCTAATTCTTTGCTATTCTTTTATTACAGTTGTGAAGGTGTTTATTTTCTATCGTTCTTTGTGCTGAAGCACATGAGGGCAGAGCGCATGGGGAAGCAGAGGAGAGAAAATATTAGAATTTAGACATGTTAACAAAACATCTTCAAAGTATGGCTTTTATGAGGCTTTCATATAACTACAGAATGCAGCAACCACCCTTCATACCATACTGAATATAACGGCGATTTTTTTTTTTTATACAACAGTAAAGTTAGTCCTATAAAACTTGACGAGTATGGTAGTGTGCTGTATATTAGCAGGTAATTGGTGTAGCCAGCAGTAATAGTACGAAGGATAAACTCTAGGTTATAGCAGAGGCTTCCTACCTTATGTTCCAGTTTTGTTCAGGTGATATTGATCTGATTATTATTTTTGTTCTGAGGTATTTAGAGTTTGGAAATGTTGGTGAACTGTCGTTGAAGCTGTTCAACTCATCTAAGAATTGGATAGTGCTGCTTTGAAGCTGTGGAAAAGTAAAACCAAAGGATATAACTCAATTTTAGTTTTTATATGCCTTCATTTTTCTAGACTCTCTTAATAAAATTTTGTCATGATTTAATTTTATTGTGAGAACTTGTTTGAAGTTTGAGAGTTTTGCCATTTGCTTTGTGTCTGTGAGATCTCATCCTCAAACTTAGCCTGGAAACAAGTCTGTTTGCATAGGTTGTACATAACTGATTCTGCTGGGGTTTTTTGAGATGTGCTGGCAGCAGAAGGGTTTTCCTCTTTAGAAAAACAGATCCCAATGTCTTTGTACGCATCTAACTGATGTGACAGATTTTACAAAGACAAGTTCTAGCCACCCATGTGCTTATTGAGAAAAGCAGGCACCAGAACATGCGCTCTCCAACAAAATACTGGAGTGTATGGCTACCAGTTCTGAAATGGGGAAGGTGAAGAGAGTAATAAGATAAAAGATTCAATTCTAAATATAAGTTGGATTTATTAATTTGATTTAAGAAATTGCTTGACCATGTAATGGTAGAAGGCATCTTGGGTAAGAATGAGCAGGATAACAGAGCAAAACACTGAAGAAGGCTTTTTATTACTATCTGGATTATATTGGTTGGCATTTTATAGTATAAGTATTTGCATCTTATAGTATGTATTCAGCTTTATAGATGGGAGTTGAATGTGAGACATAATGTATTAGTCACAAAATGAAAATATTAAGTCTAATGTTGAAGCTCTGTATTTTAAAAAGGCAATTTTTGTTCTTTTTTAGGTAAGCTTCTGGGTTGTTAGAGAGATTCTACATGCACAGACCTTAAAAATAAGAGCTGAGGTTTTGAGCCACTATATTAAAACTGCGAAGGTAAGAATTAGGATTGGGGGTGCGGTGGGATTCACCATGATGAAAGTTCTTAAGCTGGTCAGTTCAAAAATACACATGGGTAAATATTTATCTGATACCTGATTTAGTTGAGGTTGTATCTGTTGACATGAAGAGCTGTTTGGTTTCTGCGTGTAATATAGGGACAAACCAAAGGCCTGGCACTGGAAGCTAGCTGAGTTTTGCTTACCCGTGAATAGTAAAAAAATCACAATTACAAAAAGCAAGTAAGTATATATGGGGCAGTTTTTATATCCATTAATTTACTTACTGTATCTATTATCTTGGCTTTGCTTACTTATGGCTGCAAACATGAAATTACTGCTGTTAGTGCCATTTGAAGGATTTTCTGTTTACACCAAAGCTATTATCAAAACAGCTTGGTGCCAGAGGTCACACTAATTAACTTTTCTTCAGATAAGCTGTAAATCTACAATACAGTGAATTCTTTGTGCTGACAACCATCTGATATTGTATAGCTAGCAGTCCTTTAATGGTATCTCATGCTATATTGCTTTATGCATGAACTAATTGGACTTAATAGTTGCGTGCCCCTGAAGTTCCCAGACTATCCTGATTGGTTATGACTTCTGTTTCAATGCTGGCAGCAGCTGGGAAACCCCTTTTTTAATTTTTAATCAGCTACACTGTCCTTTGGGACAGTGAACTTTATTACCTTGTTTGAGGACACGTGGGGATGGGGGGAGGGTTATTGTGTAAGTGCAGGGACAAACACCAGTAGTACTATTTGAAAGGATAGTACGACTATGGTATATGACAAATATCCACCTGCCCCACTTCACCCCACAAAATACTCATTGCCATTTACACACAGTTACTAAAGAATCCTCCCAAAAGAGGATTAGGAGAGGGAAACACTTCTTCAGTAGGCATGGAAAGACCCTTGTTTGTCAGTAGACATGCTGGAACCATAGGGTTCTGGGCACCCAGACTGAAATTGCTACTTGAGCAACCTGACAATAAGCATTAAAAGAGGCATTTCTGAGTAATATCTATGAAGACTTTGTTCTGTAAAAGGCTGTTAGTTTTCTGGCAGTGTATTAAGTGGAAAGAGAATAATTTGCCCTGCTCCAAAACTATTAGCTGGAAAACTGTCCTTGCAGTATCACTTTCAGCCTTCCAAGTATAAGGTCTCCTCTGATACTCAGCATTTATTCAGAATGAAGTTAGCCTTTTGTCCTGTTATCTCATGAAAGACCTCCTAATCAAGAAAACTGGGGTAAGCTGAATTTCAAGGAGGAAAAATTACTTCCACCATTTCTTGAATAGCAAGGGTTCCTTATATTGTATCATGTTTCTGACCGGAATCCTAACTTACCTTGGTGAATTTTCCAAATGGGTTGAACAGGATTTGCAGTACTGTGACAGAGTATCTGTTTCTCTTTATCAAAGTCTTTTTGTTAGGGGTAAAACCTCAGTTTTTGTGCACTCTGCCAGAAATCCCTGGATGTAGTTCAGATCTCTGGGTGCTCATAGATATCAGAATAATTGATATTGCAGAAGTGCTTAAGGAACAGCATTTTCGTATGGACCATTTTTAAGCTTTTGTGACAGTAGTACCAGTAGTTAATTCACCAAGGCAGATTGATGGTTTTGGGGACAGAGGGAAAGAAAAAAAGAGGGGAGGAAAATTCCAAATATGTAAGAAAATGCACTTATGCGCAGTGCTTTGTAGAGAGTTTTTAAGAAAATTCTTTTATCCTGATGTTTTCTGTGTTCAATTTTGATTTCATTGTTCCTTTCCACTAGTTATAGTTGTCATCCCCAAAATTGTATTTCAGTGAGAGAAGTATTCCAGGTACATGGCTTTTGAAATTTACCTGCTTGATTTCACCCTGCAACAATATTTTTTGGGTGCTTTGGTGCAGCCTTGGTAGCTACGTAAACCTGTGGTGCCAAATGCATTTAAAATATTAAATACTGCCATGATTACATCATTCACAACTGGGTTATCCTTTTTGGCATATTAAGTTTGAAAATTCTGTTGAATGCTATGAAAGGAATTTGTTGGGTTTGAATGTCAGAAAATTTCTGGCAGTTCTGTTGTATGTCCCAAGATGTATGTATATATAGATTATTTTTTCTCAAGAGCTCTCTCTGGACTATGAAACAGTAGTATAGTCTAATCCAAAACTGTATAGATGCAGTAATGAAAAATTAGGAGGTGCCATAGAAGTGGTATGAGTGCACAGCAGTTCACTGTAATTGACTCTTCATTTTAGAGCATACAAGGTTTCTTAATTTTGAATTTTCATGTATTCTGTATTAATTTTTGACAGCACTTGGAATGTTGTTTATTGTTATTGTATATATTTTTGTCCTCAGAAACTGTATGAGCTGAATAACCTGCATGCTCTTATGGCAGTTGTGTCAGGCCTACAGAGTGCTCCAATCTTCAGGCTGACTAAAACGTGGGCGGTAAGTGAGCAGCAGGGCAGTGAAGGGGTTTTAATTTATTCTTAGGAGAATGTAACATTCTGGAGCTTGTTTTCAAGGATGCAATAATTATGACAGATACTTTTAATCTTCTTGTACCGTGTGTGTGTTTCTAGTGCCTCTTAACTCTATGGTTTCCTGTTGGTTTTTTTTTTTTTTTTTCTATTCTGGCATAGAAATATTTTCCTTTGAAAAATAGTTCCCTGCAGATTCTGCTAAATACAGAGGCTTCTAATTTGGCCAGAAACTATTTTGTATTTAGTTGCTGGAAAATTATGAATGCCAAAGTGGGTCATACTTTAATCGTTTAGGGGTTTATACTGTTGGAATTTTTTTTGCTATGGAGAGCAGATGTCCAGAAACTCTTGATTCAGTTTCCATAAAGAGATTTGTAGTTTCTCTGACCAATAACTAAATCTTGCAGTTTTTTCTCAGTTTTCAGGATTATTTTCATAGTTACAGCTGCATTGCACAGTATATTTGTAGGTCTGCTTTTGTACAGTTATGAAAGAATGGTGTTCTTTGGAAACATTTTTATTTTACATTTGTTTTTGTGTAGTTGTATCCTTGATTAGAACATTAAGAATGACTTTTGCTCATTTATACCTCAGAGCTGAGAAAATATTGTGCTTGATTCAGCCCTACATTGTGTAGTTATCCAGCTGTATAAACAGATGAACTGTGACAATTTCAAGTGTGATAGAAATAATCAGGTGACTAAAACACTCCTGTTCAGTGAATCCATATAAATAGATCGTTAAAAAGAGCTAAAGACTTTCACTGCAGTGTGTCAACACATCCTCACATGTGTTTCTTTGTCTGATAACTGAATGATGATAATGTTGTTCAGTTGATAAATGTTACCAAAATTGAATATAATTCACTCCTGCCAAGATACTCATCTAGAATTCAGTGCACATTTTGCAAATGCACAACTAAGACATTGTTTCAGAATACCAAAAAACTCTCTAAAGAAATCTTAATGAAGTTCACACTTTAAAATGATCTTGAGGAGAACTGTTGTTGTTCTGGTTTTGTCGTGTCGATGAATTGATGCTTAATCAGTTTTTACAACTGTGGTGCCAAATTGATTTATTTATTTATTTTTTTTTTTGGTGCATGACTCAAAATGAATGTCAGCTGTAATATATAACCATAATATATATGGTTACATAATAATATAACCATATTAGTTACTATCATAATTATGCCATTCAGAACTGGGAATCCCCATTTTCTTTTCCTATTTGGTCAGCCAGTAGTCTTGTTTTGCACTTAGGATGATTATTTGTGTGCTGTTCGCCTATGGATCAGTTTTTAAGGTTGGTCCCCCTTCCAGCCTCTGGAATGCCAGGTAACTTCTACTACGTTTCTGCAGGTGTTTAATTTCTCATACAATCCCAAACAAGTCTATGCTTTTCATCATCTTATATATGCCTTTGCAAATTCACGTTGCACATTGCTATGTGCACTGCAAACTGATTTAGATGTCTTTCACTCAAGTTCAGTTTATAAATTCTTGAAGTAATTCTAAACTTTTGGCTTTCTGTATCTTAAAAGCAAGAAAATACATGTGAAAAGGCACACCAAGCCGTTATTTGAGTCACCAAGTCATTTGAGTAAGTTCTACAGTAACCTTGCAGTAAAGAAGGATTTCTTCTCCATTTCTGATATAGTTTGTAGCAACCCACAATCAACTCAACTGACAGAGTCAGGAAAATAACTGCAAGCATATTCACTCCCTTAAAAAAAAGTCACCTTATATGGTTGGAATCTAGAGTTGAAAGGAGCCATTAAATATTTGCTTGATAATCTAATGTTCCTAAAAAAGATGAAATTCATGTCTTCTGACGGTATGTCTGAATATGTCTTAAACTTGTCTCACTCACTGCCTGCGCACCCTCTGAACTCTGGAGAATAATAAATGCTTCTAGTGTGTGATTTGCCCTGTTCAAAACTTGAAATAGACTGTGAAGCTTTCCAGGAAAGTACATCGAATATTCTACTTCTCTCCATTTAATGTAAAGGGAGTCTAGATGACCAGCTAGGACTTGGGCAACATAAGCAAATAATCATCAGACATCTGAAGTTGGGCAAGTGAATCCTGCTCCAGTCTCCCAGCACCCTGAAACTTCATCTCTCCTTTCTTGCATTTTAAAAAGGTTGTCTTCAGTGCTGGCACACTATAATTAGAAAGCCAAGAGCAGTCTGGAAGGCTCTGAATCCTTCCCTGCTACGGTAAACTATCAGCCTTAGCTTTTGTTGTCTCTGCATATGTCCATTTCTTTACTGTTCTTTGCATCATTTGAGCCTAAGAGACAGAGCAATAAAAATTACTTAGGAAAAGAAGCAGCTCTAAAACTGAAGAAATAACAGCTGGGTCTTTACTTGCCCTCACAGAAACACTCTTAATATTGTCAGGTTCTCTGTACTTTTTTTGACATAGATGCAGGAAGTGAAGACATGTGAATTGCACCATGAGCACAAGGGCAAGTCATGCAGGATCAACTTGTTTAGAGATTATTCAAAGAGCCTGAAATGATATATCAGACTTGAAGAAGATTGTGCAAATCAGCATGTTTTAGGAAAATACAATCAATTTAATTTAAGTCTGAATTTAGGCCATTAGTATATCTATTAAGTCTTGTATTACCTTCCAGTCTGCAAAACTATAAAAGCCTTCCAGACACCAAATGGTAGCAGAATATTTTTAGAATATTATTAAAGGCTAGCTAATCAAGGCTGATTAAACTGGAACCATTTTTGAGGAGACAAACTTCAAAAGATAAATGTCATGTTCTGGTGGTTGGAGAAAAGTCATGCCTGTCTACTGTTTCCTTGTCCTGGAATTGGCAGATGTCTGCAGTTTTAATGAGCATGAGGTGCTGTTCATCCGTATATTGGAACCAAAGCTAAAGATGTAAATTAATTGCTGGAATGTCCAGAGAACAGTATGTTTTAGGAAACAATTCACTTTTTAGAAGTGACTTTCTTCTGAAGGCCAGTGTTCAGTTTGAACTAATGAAGACTAGGATATAGGAAATGTAAGTAAAAAGAGCAGTTATTTCAGTAGTGAATTTACAGCTTTACAGAACACTTCACTTCTATCATGTTCACATAGGTTGATCTTTAACTGAAAGAGAAAAGGGAATATGCATAAAAATTTAGTGATCTGATTCTTGTAATTTTTGCATTATTGGGTATCTTATGGGGAAAAATTGTGACTGGGACTAGAACACTGAGTCTTTTGGCAAAATGTTCAGTGGGAACATCTTATAACCTTCTTTAAATTCTGGCTCTGAATTGAAATGAAGCCTTTAATGTGGTTTTGCAGGAGTAGTTTAGCTTGTTTTAAAAATAACTTACTTTCCCAATGTTACAAAGAGAGCCTAGTTGCTCTTAATTCTGTCAAAGGAAGGGTGGGGTCGGGGAGGGAGGAGGAATGGACAGTGAAGGAGATCCATGACTTTTAAGTTTTGTGTTCAAAGTGGACATTCTTCTAATATTAAGAGCCAGTAAAATTGCAAGTTGGCAGAACAATATGCAACCTTTATTCAAGTTGATAATGCCTTCTGTAGAGAAAAATGGATTAAATCCTTACTCTTTTCCAGGCCTTCAAGTACATGAATATGTGTCTGTCTGCATTAACTTTTTTTTAAATTGTAGTTTAGTTAAAGATGTTTATCAGATCTTAATGGTACTGTTCTACTCTTTGGAAAAGAATTTGTTGAGATAGCTCTCAACTGAAGAATAAGAACATATTTTGGAATTTGGGTTTTTTATGAAGCTGGATCAGTATAAAATTTCTCAGTGGATCTGACAAATGTTAACTTATGGATAATTAGAGTAAATAAAATACTGCTTTTAAGTACTGTAGAAGTGGCCAGCATGTGAAAGTGTGATGTGTTTTAGCTAGATTAGTCTTTTGAAAACTTGTATTATTTCAGAAGGATCCTCCAGGACACCGAAGTTTATACCTGGCTAATTTTCTAAAAGGATAGTTTAAATTTAACAATTAAATTAACTCTCCAAGTACTCATCATTAAGGAGTAAATGCTGTAATTTTGAATCAGTTGTATTTGAAAATAAACCAACAACAACAAAAAGGGAGGGGAGGGGGGTGGATATCCATGCTGTTAAGGGTAAAAGAGAAATCATAATGATCAAATTTAATGCTCGTCTGGTTTTGGCTGTTTTGTTTGGGTCTTTTTCCCTAGTTATTGAGTCGGAAGGATAAAGCTACCTTTGAAAAGCTGGAGTATGTTATGAGTAAAGAAGATAATTACAAAAGGCTTAGAGACTATATCAGCAGCTTGAAGATGACTCCTTGTATTCCCTATTTAGGTAAGCTGAAGTATTTCTAATGGGAAACACTAATGACACGCGTGCTTCTCCAGTAGTTACACAAACTAAACACCATCTTTTAAGCATTCACAAAACTATTACAATACTTCAGTAAAGAATCTATACCCAGTAGTTGATTCTGGATAGTCTGTATATGGCAAAAAATAATTTCACTAGCTTCAGAAAGAAAATATCTATTAAACCTCACAAACACTTCAGGTTTACCTACAGTATCAGTTTTCTAGGAAATTATTTTCCTATGTGCTGTATAGATACACTGATTGGCTTCTGGAGAAGTACTTAAACTGTTATGCCTGCTAGCACTCTTAGAGGGTAAATACTTGACTGTTATAGTAATGATGGCTTTTAATTTATGAGAAGCTATAAATCACCAACCTCTGAGATAAGTAAATGTAGATCTTAGTGTTTGGAACATGCTAAAATCTGGAGATATTGCTGCATTTAGTTATCATAAGGTGACAAGAGAAATTGGGTTGTTACGACTGACTCAGCTTTATGGAATAATTATGAGTAAGTGTATCTGAAAACTAGATAAATGTGTTTAATATGTATTGGTTTTGTTGCAAAACTAATCTAGTGTCACTTCATGTCTCGGTTTAGACTGTTTAAAGTGATCAGTGTGCTTTTTTAATATAGCTTTTCTTTGATACCATAAGATGTCTGTGGTCACATCAAATTAAGGAAATGTTTACCCAATTTTTTCCTTTTCCAGAAAAAATAGCTGGTATTTTTGCAAATATAAGTTGCTCTTACACCTAAATTCAAGATGACCTCCTGTGGTCACTAAGGCTTATAAAACTGTAATCTCTTTTTCCTGAAGTTTGATACTTCCTTTACTCAGCTGGACTATTAATTTTTTTCAAGATTAATAACTTGACTGTCATCTTTATGCTGTGATCTATGTGTCTGTCACAATATTATTTCAGTTGTTTCATATCTTGATATGAGTGACAATACCATCGTTGTTAGAATCTAGAATGATTCCTCTAAAATGCATATATCCAGGTTTTGCAAAATTGGTTGAATTCTACATGCTCTATACTTAAATATAAAAAAATACTTTGTGGAGAACCAATAATTTTAATGACAAGTAGTCCTATAGAGTTCCTCATTCTGTCTTCATTTTTTACTTCCCTGTTACATCCCTCCCAGAAACATCCATCAGTTCCAACATGGTCTTAACAGCTGTTAATTTCCTGTGTTTTCAAGTATTCAGGTGTTGGTAATTGTTTGTGTCTAGAACAGAAGAATCAGCATGAGTGTGTTTTCTCTGAAGTGCAGATGTGAAAATTGCAGGTGTGGCATACTGTCACATGCTACCCTGTTTGTTGATGTAACTATTAAAACTAGGCCTCAATTAAAAGGGGCAAAGAAGCAGCCAAACATAATGTAATGTGATTAAATGTGTCATTTGTAGCTTTCCCATCATGTGTACACACATGGTATATATGCACTGTATATGGTTCTGAAATGCAGTTTCTAGCTTTCCAGATGCTTTTTAGCTATACCCCATGATTTATGAAACATGAAGCCAGGTTCTAAATTATTTTCTTGCTGAACATAGAAGTCCCAAGCCAACCTGCTGTCAGGCTTTGTGGGTTTTTTGGTTGGTTTTTTTTTTTTTAATCTTATGATACTCTGACCCTTGCCATTATAGTCTACTAATGCTTACTGCTGTACAGAGAAATCTTTATGCTTTGGTGTATTTGTCTGACACTTTAAAAATACTGCCTTACTATGTGCAAGTGTATATTTTAAAAATAAGTGGCATGTTGGAAAACAATGTTTTAAGTTTTGTTCAGTTACAGATGCTTTCTTCAATATATTAGCAACCTCTTGTCTAATTTTTGTGTTAGAATAAGCTTTGAGCTTGACTTGATAGTTTGTTGAAGTGAAAAGTATGTTTATTTTCTGCTTAGAAAGAAAGAAATGCTCTTTGCTGTGACCCTCTGTTGTTAAAGAATGTGTTATGACCTGGTTCCATATAATATCAGTTCTGACTAATGACATGAAGAATGTCCTTATACCTTTTTTTAATTCTCCAGAGGAATAGTGAATGCCCACTGGTGCACTCCCTCTAAAATTATTTTTGTACAGTTTAAATATATGGCAAAAAGAACAAAATTGTCTTGAAACTGCAGCCATTATGAAGCTGGATCTATCCTGGAAGAGATTGTCTGTTGTGCCCAATTTTTCTCATTTGGTCAAAGCTTTAATCTCCAGTAAGACCTGAGTAGATTTGCAGGAGTATTATTTCTAAAATTTCCTTCCCAAGGCATTTTTACAAATGTAAGAGTCATATGGAACAGAAGTGGCTTAAGTTGCTTGTTTTACTTACTGTTTTAAGCTTACCGGCTATAGGTTATAATTCCCGAAAGGATCTTTTTCTGCTGTTACTTCTGGTATAAAATCATGTACAGGAGTAGCGCTGCTCCTGGTTTAAAATGTGTACAAAAGTCTACCTAAAAGTCTGCTGTTTCAAAGTGTGATCATGGCGTGCACCGGAGGGGGGTATTAATCATAAGGTCCATTTCCTTTCGTGGAAAAAGGAGGTGTGAGGTGAGACTCTCAGTGAACTGTTGGTGCAAAGATCCTGCAGTTGCTGTGCTCCCCTAAAATGCTCTTTAGAAGAGCACAGAGAATCAAGCCAGTTACATTTGCCATTGCAAATCCCCTCTGGAGAAATATTGGCACTGGTTGTGAAGGACCCTGTTTGGAAGGTCATAGGGAAAGTGAGCATATAAAGGAAATTTCAGCTGCGATTTCAAGGATGAATGTTTTACCCTTCAGAGGTTACTAGGTTTACCCTTATGCAAACAAATATAAAATGTGGGTGTGGAGTTTTTTTCATGACCGTCTTAGCATTATAAGATAAAGCATAAATGCTTTTTTGTGTAGTCTTTGCAATGGGAATGCAGCCACAGAAGTACAGATTGTTTTCTTATTAGCACAGTTCACTCACTGTAATTTTTTCAGTTCTTTGCATCAGTAAGTGTGGTGCAATTCCAGTGTTCTAGAAATGCGAGTGAGAGCAGCACATAGTCAGTGTGGGCTCACTAACTTAAATATGAGTGCTAAGAGCCATGCAACACCAATAAAAATGTTTAGCATTAGGTCCTCATTACGCAGTGTGGGGTATGTCATCACTGTTGCATCACCCAGCCAACTAAAGTAGCCAAAACAAATGGGAGCTGTATATGTAATGTTCTATTTTGCCTTAGACTAAAAACCCATTCTCAAAGGGAGTCTTATCAAGGGGTTCTGATTAATATGAGATTGCACAATGAAACAATTGAGCCATGTCTTGAGAAGTAAGATTTTTATTTAACTAAGCAGTACTACCTTGTGAAATACTTTCTTATAGCGGTCTTTCAGGAATTATATCCAGAAACAGAAAAGCTGAAAACAGGTTATTGAAGTATTCTTCTGACGAATATTCAGCTAATTCAGTGATAAGGCTGGCAATAGACTTTGGAAATATGTGAAAACCGTGTTGCAGGTTTAGTACAGATTACACTTTTTCAAGGTCTGCTTGGTTAAATTTGGACTGATAGAATAGGAATGGCGAAAGCTATATCCTTCACAGACAGACTGCTTCTGAACGTCCAGTGCAATGAGCTCAAGGAATGCTACAGCCTCTTTTGAAAAACTTTTCTTAAAAAAGTGAGAGAGAAAACATTGAACTTCGTAATTTGCGCTGGTTAGAAAACTCAACCCAAAAGCTAAGAACTGATAGTTGCAAGCATTTGAAAGTAGTAAATTATTGTATGAATTATTATTATCATCGTCTTATGAAATTATTATGAACCAACCTAAAAAAGACACACTATGCTTTCTTTCCTCATAATCTTAAATCAGCAACTTAAAAGTTAAGTCTTTCCTTTCAGAGCACAGCATTTGTACAGTCTGAGCTTTCTGGGTATATTTTGTAGTAATGTTTCATTAACATTATCCTGCAGCTTTAAATTGGGAGAGACTCACTTTTTAGATGTCTAATACATAAGATCCAATTTAAAGGCTGAGTGAAAGCTAATTTTACTTAGGGGTTTCTGCAAAGCGTACCTTTCACTGACTGCACTGAATAAACACACACTGTTTTTGTAGCAGGCAAGAGATTCTTGTGGTAAAGTAAGATCTCTTCCAAGGAGTGGAAATCTGTTGGTTGAATAAACTAAAGCTGTCAGAAGTGTTCATTAAAGGAACATTTTGGAGAGCATTTTCAGCTTTTAAATTTATGTGAACTACTCTTCTACCCAGCTGCCACAGAAGAAAAGAATAGACTATAGACAGTCTGAATTTTAAGCGTTTGCAATTAAAAAGCATGTTACAGAACACTCAGTCAGTGAGGTCTGTATGATATTTGTAACAAACAAATATTTCTTATATGAAGAACAGTTTCAGAATTTGTAATCTTAAAGATTTGTTTCAGTTAAAATTCTTGGAATCTGGGAATGGAATATGCAGGGACTGATTCGCCACCCCCTCAGCCTGCCAACCCCAATTAAATATTGTTGAAACTTGTTGGCTTTGATCTCTGACCAGAGATTTAACTACAACCCTTGCAGCTATATATTATCAATGAAGCTTTATCTACTCCAGAGAATGTGTTTTGAAAGCTATTTTCTCTCCTCTGAACTACAAATGAGGTTTTGCATAGCACTTGGTATTGACTAATTTAACATAATATTTGATTATTCCTCTAGCTATATAGGGTTTCTTATGTTAAGCAGGGACAAAGTCCCTTAAAATGCTGAAGGGACATACGAGGTGCCAAACAAACACATTGGTTACCATTCAGAACAGCATATTTAGTTTTTGTGTAATATCAAATTAAATTAGGTAACCTGCATGGCTAAGTACAATTATTAAATAATTTTATATACTAGAAAGAAAGCTTTGGTTTCGGAGCCTCTGTTACCTAAAGTGAACATTCGGTTGATTTTGATTTTGGAAGGATCTTGTTTTAATGCAGTATGTCTTATGGCATTTGTTTAAAGGTTGGGAAAGTATTTTATAATTGATTTCTTAAATTACATATTCATTCCAGTGGAATTCAGATATCCAGAGGGAAAAAAATTTAATATAGACAATATCAGAGTTTTATACATGTAGGGGAAGGGAAATGTGTTATGTCATAAGAGGAGTCAAAGTTTGGGGTGGCAGGAAGAATACACTCAGAGCTGATTTCCGCTTTTGCGTTTACTATGTCAGCAGAAAGCTGTGTTGGAGGAAAACTTAAAATTTTCAGAGACTTGGTCCTTCTCTAAATTAGTACATGTGAACACTTGTTCAGACTTTGTCGCTCCTAATTGGAGCAGGGGAGGGGTCTCCCAAGTGTCAAGTCATGATTTTAATATCAGGAATTTTCGTTTTGTCATTTAAGTTCAAGGTATCAAGAAATATTTTTGTTTAATTAGTATGTTTGATTATGGAGATAGAAAGTAAAAAAAAAAAAAAAAAATTACTGAGCAATTTGGTTATCTTGAGTTTATCAATTGTTTCAGACAATTATTTTTCTTGTGTTAGGAACATTTTGCCTAAGTGTTTTATAGAAGGTAGGATATGCAGATCTTAAGAAATTCTCTACACCACTAAGAAATGTTATATTTTATGTTTAATTTACCACTTCATTTTGAAATAATTATTTGTTGCAAAAATCTCTCTCTGCTGGCAAAGCTAGAATGTCTTCAATTTTTTGTGTAGCTTCCTGGAGTAAATCTTAAACAGTAATGTGAAGTCAGATTTTCATTGAAAGAATACCAACATTTTTAAATAAATTGTTAAATAACTAATCAATTTTCACATTAAAGTAAGACAATGTCATTTCACATATTTACATTTAAGGGTTGAGCTAACCTGAAAAAGTATAAGCTTTTTAAGTGAAAAAGCTTATAACTTGTCATATATCTGGAATTTTTTACCAGCTTTAATGACTGTTTATGTAAAGCATGTTGGACTTGAACAAAGATAAATATGCTTTGCAAGAACAAACATCTGCTTTCGTGAATGTGTGTTTAAAAAACCACCGTCTGTCACAGTAAAAAAGGTTTCTAAAAAAAGGAGGGGGGAACACAACAGGGGGAAAAAGACAGGAGAACTGTAGACCTGCTTTTTGCAGGGGCAGATTGTGCAAAATAATGATTAAAAAGTAATATTTTATTTTTCTGGAACTCAAGCGCTGAGAAGTTTATACGTAATCACTTGAGCGCCGTGGGTTTTTCCTGCTCAGTCTATAGGTCTGATCATCATTTGAACTGCTTTCAAGGAGTAGGAACCTCCCCGGTACTCAGCCCAAAATATTCCATCCTGATACTTGCTCCTGTAGTGGCCACCTCTGTACCACACCCCATTAAGGTTAGAATGGGCACATGCGTTGTACCACCAGCCACCTTTGTGAAAGTGAGCACAGTTTCCTGTGGAAAGGAAAAAAATAGGTCAACTTCAACATTAAAGAAGAGAAATGGAGATTAGTAAATGCTTTCACATTCTGGCTTATTCTTAGAGGGAACTCTGAAGTACTTCATAGCCTGTTGTGGTCATATCAATTGCTGCTTCTACCTAAACTGTAAATTCTGTTGTAACAGCAACCATTGCCTGGAGGGATGATCATTAAACACGGTATTTAATGTGACAGCTGAAAACTGAGGAGATAACTCTTCTCAGACTACCAGCAGTGCTTGTCTGTGAGCTAATATTCAAGGAACTCGGATTATGTACTGTTTAGAAATACTTCAGTGGAAGCAATGTGAGTTGATACAGTCCCAAGCAGCACACAGGGCCACAGTTCCACAAAGAGTTGCTTGTAACTTGTGTATTTACTGTTACAGGCTTGTTTTAAGAGTTTGCAAGATTTGTCCAGTGTTATGGTTATTGACAGCTGAGAAAAAGCTGTTGCAAGTATTACACTCCCCAACCTTTCTTTTACTGCTAAGGCTTTAAGGGGAAAGCTGGAGGAGATGCCTGGAAACGAACAAAAAAGTGTCTTTTAAGGAGAAAGAAACAGTGATCTGTCTGTTTCTCAAGTGTTCGTACATAACTAAGCCTGTGCACAATTGCAGTGCCTTTCATGCTGTTCAGAGGCTTTAGTTCATGGTGGTAGTTGTTAGGTGGCCACAGCACTGCTCGGAGATCATCTGGACAGGTATTCTGACTGCAGAGAGTCACGTGCAAATGATAAGGATGTCACTGAGAGTCACGTGCAAATGATAAGGATGTCACTGAGAGTCACGTGCATATGATAAGGATGTCACTGAGAGTCAGGAGCAAGCTTTATATTTAGCTAAGTGACATCCTTATCATTTGCACAAGCATGCCTGCAATGAGAGTAATAGAATTTGAATTTCTGAATGGTGCAGGGACTTGAAGGGGGCCCTGTCAACATGATTTTTATCATTATCAATTTGAAGCATCTTTCAATAGAGTTGTTTTATCAGAATTTACATACTACTTTTTATACTATATTCTTTTTTAAAGGTGGTATCACTAACGGAATCTACTGTATTCACTTTTCATGTACACACTGCTTTCCTTACCTGAATACATATCCCTGTCTCTATCCAGTGTTGTAAATTGCTTTCCATTATGCCATATCATGGAATCGCCTGCGTTTCCTTGGTATGTTCCTAAGCGTAGCCTGTAGAACTCGCTTTCAGGCTCCAGGCGGAAACTGCTGTATTCTGCGTAGACTTTCTTATTGCTCCAGTCCTCTAACTCAATCAATAGTCTGTAATTATCCTGATTGGTAAGCATGTAAATATTTTCTAGTCCCAGCCAGTACTCTCCATCAATGTTTCCAAATCCTTTCTGTACAAAAGAAGATCAGAAGGTGATGTTAGCTTAGGTTTTCTTGTTTGTCAAAACACTGAACAGCAGGAGTATTATAAACCATTGGAACTTGTGTACTGAAAGCCTTTAAGTTTCCGAATGACTGCTCAAGCCGTGCATTGAAATGCTTTATTTTGCTGCACCTGGCCATTTACTCAGTTGGACTGTTAGCTGCATGAGGTACTACCAGAATCAGTAAAAGTGGCAAAACTATCTGTTTTCTGTCATGTGCTCTTTTTAAAATAAAGGGAGAGAGAATCGAGAAACTGAAACAATATATTTTTGACAAAGTTAAGGGGATCTTTGAGAATGTATGAATAATGACATTTAAGGGGGTGTATTTCCAGGTTGGAAAAGGTATTGATCAACAGGCTCAGTGTTCAAGGCAAATAACTTTTCATTGCCTTTTTAATGCAACTAGTGGTGTTGTTTATTGTAAATTTAACCACATAACTCATCTGTGCTTTTTACTAGATTTATTAGAAATGAAATACAAAGATGTCTTTCCTTTCAAATCACAGACTATCCAGTGTGGTAGCTGTGAAGTGGTATGTCTACTGTTTCCTGTCCCTCAGTAAACCAGTATTGTTAATGTTGGGCATTGCAGCTGAGGTGGGTACATCACCCAGAGTAGCTATCTGCTATGCTTCCTAGTTTCTGAGGTCTTTCCACTCTCCTTCTCAGGCCGTTGATTATGTAGGATCTACAGCTGATTTCCTACTTTGAATCACTTTCTGTGGAAGTCTCTCTGCAGTAGATAAGTAGTCTAGTGTCCTAACTCAAGCTGCAGTTTCAAAAGTGGCTTATGTTGATCTAGCATCATGCTGCTCCCCAAAATGGTAGTGGTGACTTTCTCCTGGCTCATGGCCACATTTGCAGTACTTCCTTGGTGTCAACATTGTAGCTGTGCAGCCACACAGAGATCAGGAAAGAAGTAGAAATGTGGTCATGGGAGACATTTCTGTTGTTAGTGGTGCAGCCTTTAGTTTAAAGCCAGTCAAAGTCACAGAGGTGCACCTTCAAGTACCTCAAGTTAGGTAATAAGAATACCATCTTCAAATACTGCAATTTAATGAGAAATCTCTTGGGGGCAAAGTCTTGGCCAAGATTGAGCCATTACTAAATGCCATTTGTAGAGTCTTCTATATTTTCTTTGCTTTATTTTCAAAAAGTTTATGGTTACTGTATAAGACACTCCATTACTACTCTAAACATAGTTTAAAAAAAAAAACCAAACCAACACCCCCGCAAAAAAAACCACCAAACAAAAACCCCCCCCAAAACCCCACCCACTTTTCTGAGAAGTTAAGACTTTGGATAACAGTTACTAAAGAATTATTAAATTTCAAAAATGCAAAAAGTGAAAAACCTCATAGTAATCTCTTTTCATTTCCTTTCATTTCCATATCTTATTTTTAGATTACTAATTGAGTTAAATGTGGCTCGGTTATCTCTTCACATACAATGCACATGGGAAATGTAGAACTGTGTCCTGTATGTATGAAGTCAGCACATGGTTATTTTTAAAAAACCCAACAAAGCGGATTTTCTGATTTCCTGTCTACCATGTAATTACTCCAAAGCAGCATGCGTTTGTCATCCTATGTATTATGCCTGTTAGGGCATAACATCACAATAACACACCAGAATGTCTTTCCCTTCACCAGCCCTATATCTTCATAATTTTAAGGGTAGAAATTATTTCCCTGAATCCATTATTAGGAATGTTTTTAAGTTGAGGCCCTGATCCTGCATATCTATTAATGTGCTTAAATTAATAATTCTCCTGGCTGACATTGCTTATTCATAAGGGAGACAATTAAGCTTTTCAAGTACTTACTATAGTTCTCTGTGTGTTAATAGAATGCATTTAGTTAGCTCTTTGTAATAAATGACTTCCCAGTCACTTTCTAGAATAACATGTGTCTCCCCCATTGTTCTGTTGTGCATTAGATTTGCAGGCTATTTCAGACAACAAGTTAGTTAATACAAAGTTAAGTAATGCACTGACTGAAATAGGACATTCCCACTGAAATATGTTTGCCTCTGAGGGATGACCATTCTTTGAAATTATTTTTGTTCATAAAATTAATTTCACTATCTTAACTTTTGCAGCTATCTATTTCCAATTCCTCAGGTTTTATCATTCAGTAAAACCGTTTGCAATGAAGAATTGCATTGAAAATGTTTGCACCTTCTTGATTGCAATAGATAATGTCACTGCTGCACTGAAATACAGATGGTTTTCAGCATTTCAGAATTTACCTTGTAACTGTCCCAGTTCCTGAAAAAGTTGACGGATCCATCTGTCCTCTTCTGAATAACTGCCCATCCTCCAGGGTCCAGGCTGTTCTCACACCATAGTTGCATCGGCTCATTACTGTTTTCAGGTTTAATCATATAAATCCCACTGTTGGAATGCCCAGCTTCCTTGGCTTGTTGGCAGTCTTTGAATGGACCTTTTTGAAAAGAAATACTGTAAGCATTGAGGCTTGACTCTGCAGTGCACATTGTTCAAGAATATTTTGTAATGGAAAGTCAGCAAATTCAATTAAGGTAAAACTACCATGGAAAACAGTGTAAAAAGTTACTGTCTTAGATTAATTGCATATATATAAATAAATACCTCAATATCCTATATAAATTTTTTTAAACAAAAACTTCATTTTGCTGAACAGATAATAGAGTTTGGTCGCCAACACCCCATTTTTAACTTTGTTGTGTCAAAGATTTATACTCTGACTCTTGATATTCAAGAAGTACATTATGATTTTCATTGACTGTTTTCTCCTGTACCACTTTTCCAAAAGGCAGACATCAATTTACTTCATTGTCCTAGTGCACCCATTTGAAACTGGTGGAAGTTTAAAACAAAACAAACCCAAGACACCCCAACAACCCCCCCACACACCCCCCTGCATACATCGATAGTTTGAACTTCATAACTTTTTTGCCTTTATGTACTTGCCCAGTTCTGGGATCAGCCTGTTAACTGTGGACAGGAATCTTTTTAAATGTCGTGTCATACTGATGTGATACGTGTGGATGGATACTGATGAAGAAAATATGCAAGTAGTGGAGAAGGACTTTTGAGCAGCTAAAAGGGCTCGCATACTTGTTTTCAGGGCTGTGATTCTACAAAAATGCTGTTGAGAGTGCTGCTTGAAAGCTGTATTTTAGACCAAGTCGGTAGTGGTTTTACAAATATTACTTACAGAAGAGCATCTAGTTATTCTGTAAGAAGCATGCAACTTATATTTCTCTGAAAACTTTGCCTAGTTTGCCTTCCAACTTCTGGTAGTGTTTTTATTTTCTACTTTTTAGAAAAGGATTTATATTCATATATCATTACTTCAGTTGATTTAAAGAGAGACTGGTTACTTACTAATGCAAAGCAGGATGTGTTCTGATGGGTAGTTAGTGGTGGATGTCTTAAACGTACTTGAAAACTCATACTCAGTCAATTTGAAAATAAATTACCTACAGCTTTGCTCTCACTTTCGAAGGCTCATTTTCCCAAATCTGCTTGCAAGTTCTGAGAACTCATCAGTCACAGAAGAAGCTAATGTGCAGAGAAGCATAAAAGACAGTCGCTGAGGTTATTCCTTAATCAAAAGTAGAGGTTGAGTGAAAGTGACCTTCATTGCAGATTAAGGTGGTGTGACAAAAGCAAATTGAAAGTCGCTCTTTTCTCAGATTTTAAAGTAGTAGTTGCCAGTTGGGTAAGTGTGTAATTATCAGGAAATCGATAAAGCATTTCATATTAATTAGTGCAAAAAGCTTTTGTATCTAATGAAGGTGACTTCTTGGAGGTTCTAGCTGTGACAGTGCTACCAAGAATGCTGCAGATATTGAGCCATCGTTGTAAGTACTGCTGTGTACTGCACCGTGAGCGTTCAGTGATGGTTTTGTCACTTTTGCGGTGCACGCAGTAGTAGCTTAGGAAGGAAATACTGTAGCTTTGGTATGAGAGTGCTTTTTCTCTTGTTCACAATTAAAATTTCCATGTAGATTGTGCACATTACAAAGTTTGTCCAATGGATAGATTATTTCCTGGGCTAAGTTGGGTCTCATTCCCTTTCATTGAACAGTCTAAAGTAAACTTGTGTGCTGTATAATTGAACAGGGAGGTTGATCTAGAAGTATTATTGTAAAGCAATTATTACATTAGAAAAAGTGTAAACAGATAAGTGGTGTTACTTGTAATGTTAATTGAGCATTAAGAATAGCTCCATTAGATCTGCTGTGTATTATTTCATATGATTTCTACTGGAGGAGGAATTGAGGACTCATTTTTCCATAACAGACCCAAAGAGATGTCTGGAGTGATTTTAAGTAGCTTTTAAGAGGGACAGAATTGTGTTTGTCTGTATATATAATACACTTTGATCACTTCTGAAATGCAGCTGGCATTAAGGTCACAGGATGCAACTTGTCTGCTCTGATGCTCAGATTTGTCTATGTGCTTATCATGAGTTAATGTTGTAGTAGAAGTAACAGGCTTCGCTCTTAGTGTAAGGAAATCCAACAAATCCCATAACTTTTGGTGTATAGCCTTGAATCTTTTTTGAGAAGTAAATTCTTTGTTATATATTATTATTTTAAGTTTACGCATAAGAACTGATCCATTTCTTGTTCAGTGCAAATGCTGAGATTTATGAAACTGTGTAAGACTCCACAGTGCTGGTCTGAGTGGAGGCTCTTTGGCTAATGAAAAAACCATAATTATTCTGTTCAAAATTTTGTTATCCATGTAAGGAATAAGTACTTCATGCATATCTGGTCTTTTGTAACAGTCTGTGTACACTAAGATGCTGAGACAGTTATAATTTAGAAATATTCTGAGAAGATGATCTGTTAAATATTTCCCTTTTAAAATTGTGGTTTAGATGTATGTTTTAGTACAGATCATATTCTATTGTAAATTAAGATCTAGTAGAGAAGGAAAGCGATGAAATAAATTTTATGGAAGCTTAATAAAATGATGGCTGAATCCTATTTTAAGATGCAGATGTTTTCTTGAGTAGGTGATATAGAAGCTGTGCTTGTGTAAGCTCCATTTAGAGGATTTTTTGAGCAATAATAGAGGAAAATTTCAAAACAAAATTGGCCATCTAATAAAAAAAGGTACATTGTTAACTGACAGGTATTAGCAGCAGAGTTGGTTGTGTGTGTGTAATTTTCAAGTACTCTTTCTACTTGAAGTGACTTTTTGCAACATAGTGGCAGTAAAATTTGGGGATGCTGGATATTTTTCCAAAGATTAAGGTAACTGTGAAAACTGTAGTTCACAGGAACATTATTCTTCTCAATTTGTAGAGCAATTTTAAATGCAAATTAACCAAAATACTCTTCAGAAAATAAGATCTCATCCTTTGTTCCCTATATACTTTGAATTTTACTCTCCACCCACAATATTAAGATGCATATTGACCCTTCTGTAAAATTCTGCTGCGGCAAGTATTTGTTAGGTATAACTTCAGATACAGTATGAAAAAGCTCCTACTTGTTGGTCCAGTTGTGTAATCCGTCATAACCAAGTCTTTGATAGGCCTATTTCTAAATGGGACTGCTTGGTTTTCATTGGACTTCTTTGACATCTTGTAACTGGAAATTTCATTTTTCTATGACGTAGTTTTGGTTCTGTGCACCATTAAATATGCTTACCTTAATTTAAAAAAAATCAGAGGTAGTAAGTGGGCATTGTGTTGCAATTTAAAAGCTTTGGGTTTGATGATTGATACTCTACCAGCTGTCGCAATTTTCAACCCTTATTTTCCCAAGGCACTGCAAGAAACACTTAAACTTCAAACTCAAAAATCTAGTATTAAATCAAGGAAGTTGAAAAATGTTAAAATAAATTTCCTAAGATTTCTTTGTGTTCCCTTGCAAAAATAGATTCAAACTCTGAACTTTTAGGGGTAAAGAGGTTAGTGGAAACCATGGTAGATATTTTCCTCTTAATTATTTAGTGCTGTTGCTTCATTTTGTATGTGTAGAAGGCATATATTGAGAGGGAGAAAGATGGATTTATAACAAAACCTTGAAGTGTGGGTTCTCTGGGAAACAGGAAGTTGCTGGGTTTTAGAATTATACTTCTGCTGTCTGACCAGACATTAATGTAATGCTTTTATATTAGCTGTTTCCTTTGCATCATGATGCGCAATTTAAATTTTCATGACATCTGGCACTTTACTTGGGCTTGTGCCTGAATTTTCTGTGGACCCTGAATAAAAACAGTTGTTCTTTACATCAGCAGCTAGTTGTTTGTAATGCTGTAGAACAGTCACAAATAAATGTCTTAGGAACCAAGCTAAACTTCCAATTGTGACTACAGGCCATGTGAAAGAAGGAAAAAAAAAAAAATTCACAAAAACCCCTTTTGCTGTGCAAGCTAACAGAGGCCAAGAGCAAGCACTTGAATGGATGTCTGAGTTAAAACTTGTTTTTTCTGAATCCTTAATTTTTTTCATCGCAATTCTGTCAAAAATTTAATGGAGACTGATAGAATTCAAGGCAGCTCAGAGGTAGTTAATTTTCTTGTCACAAGTTTTGTTTCTACTGATAAATGAATTTATCTAATGACCTGAAGAATGTAACACATGAAGATGTGATGCAGTCTCCTGGATGTATTTTCATAACATTTATGGTATTAGTTTAACTTGCCACCCCCACTGGCATCACATTACTGGGAATGTAGTTATGCATTTTAAATTTTCAAAGCTGAGTGCATCTAATTGGATCGAGCCTTGATTCAATTATCCTTTCAAACTTATCTTACTCTTGAATATCTCAACCAAACACTTAGAGGCTTATTACATGACTGTGGTGGATTTAGATGTTCATTTTAAAGCAGCTCAGAATAGAAGGAGTAAAATTCTTCTAGCAGGTTTAACTTCTGGCAGCAAGGGCTAGCTGTACCAGATACTTTAAATTCTTCATTCTATTTCTATAGCCAGGACAGTTTCCCTCTGAAATAGAGAAATCTTAGGTTAGATAAATAGTGATAGGTGACTCACCCTCATTAATTAAAGCCAGTGGTGGTACTCTGAAAGGACTCTTTGTAGGAGAAGTAGCTGGATCAGGTGGTGGCCTTACATCTCTGTCTCTAGGGTAACCCGGGTCTCGCTGTATCTCGTTACCTCCCAGAAGAACAGGAGTGTATGGCTGGCTGTTAGGAATGTGCTGTGGCACGACTTGAACAAGCGGTGGAGACCCATGGGTGTCCTGTCGTGAGAAGATTCTCAAGCACTGCTCTTCCAGCAGTGAGATAGTCACAGACTGATTATTTACAAGATCAGTTAGTGCTGCATATTTTACTTCAAGCTCCTTGTATTTCGTTGCCATCTTCAACATTTCTGTTGTAACATTAAGGACTTTGTTTTCCAGTTGGGAAAGCTCAAGTGAGTTATCACGCTTTCGAATTATCTCATGCAAGAGTTGCATATACAGTTGGGTGACCCGAGAGTTCATGTTACGACTTTCTTTCCTCAGTAATTTTACTTCATTCACAATGTTTCCATCCACATCCACTACCAATTGCAAAATGTCAATCTCCCGCTTCTGCTTGGACAGCACATCCTTCAAGTTCTCTATGTCCATTCTTGTGACTTCATCTTTTCTGTTACCAGTACTTGGTCCATTAGTATTCACGCAAATTGGCCCTGTGATTTTTTGTTCTGGGACCAAGAATGTGTAACCACATTTTTTCCCTTCCTCTCCACCATCTGCTGAACGAGGGTGCCTCCGTTGGGATGTTTTATTAGGCTTAGATTGTTCTGTACAGCGCCCGATAGACAACAGCAGGAACAGCAGTACACCCAAAGTCCATTTAAATATCTTCATTTTGAAGCAAGTATGATGACTGTCAGAAGAGACTATTGAACAGATAGAAGATAAAATAATTAAATTAGAGCCCATAACTAAGGCTTCTGTATCACTTAAATTACCTAAAACGATGGGTTTGCCATGCTTATGTGTATGTAGACAAGTCTTTGGAATCTGTTACTTGAAGCTAGGTTCCATTAGATTAGCTTCAAATAATAGCTTTCTGTTTTGAGCAGCAAACCTTAAAATTTAGGTGTTGGATTTAGTAGAAAAATAGTTGCAATGGATAAACTTTCAGAAACAATGTTCTGCTTAAATTATGTATTATGCTTTCATTATAAATTAGATCTGTACTGACTGCAATTAAATGCACAAGGTTATGGAACATACAGAGTGCTTGCAGAGTATCTTCGTGGAAGGGAAGTAGGGAGAAACTGATGGATGATAGTATTTTCAAAAGTATTTATATAAATTTTGGAATTTAGACTATATAAGCCTTTCTGGTCCTCTTCCAGCTTTATATATGTGTATATATAGATGTATAATCTGTTAAATACTATTTATATACCTTTCATATATACATGCATACATTTTACAAATTTATATACACACAAATAGACTTGAAAAATACAAACATATTGAACACTATTTTTGGATACTAGTGTTAGACAGGAAATTAGTGTAACATAGTTGTCTTAAACATCGAAAATTACATATTCAAATAACTTTAAATTTGTAAGGAAAGCCTATAATGCTGTTTGCTCTGTATTTGTGTCCCTACTTAGTTACCTGTTGAGATGAACGTTTAAAATTGTTGTCACATTATCTTTGTATCTGAGAACTTTTTTATCCAAATAACACTGAAGTATCAGGTGTGTTATCAATATAAATACCATTGTGAAGTTTCATTCATCTTTTAAAGAAAATAATGTATTTCTTTTAACTTTGTGTGAAGAACGGAAATGCAGCGATAAAGATTCAAGAATGTTTTTAGGCACACCTGGGTCTTTTAGCTTTATTTTTTAAATTTTTGAGATTATAAACAAAGGTAGCACTTAAATTAGGGAAAAACCCCATCATTTTTAATGTTTTATTTGCTTTAAGCAGATTACTCTTCCTTCTTATCTCAGCTGTTGATCTGGCTTTCCTTTCCAGACTACTGTTAGTGGTTGTACAAGGCCTTGTACAGTGGCCTTTGTATAGTTAGAAAGAGAAATAAAGTAAAACCGGAGAAAGCTCATAATTTTCATGCTGTTCCTGCCAAGTTCAAGTTTAAGTGCATTTGGCAATCCTGAATCAGTCACCATGAAGGAGAAGCAGACCAGTGCTGCTTCCTTTACGTTCACATTTACAAATGATAAGGTGACTTTTGTGTTGGGTCACTTCTCCCACTTCTGTTACTGGCTTTAATATTATTGCTGGAAATTGTTTGCTCAACCTCAGAGTAAACAGATCAAGTCTTTATTTTTTGGCTTTACTAAGAGTAGTGGTTACAAACTTCAAACCATGCTGTACATGGAGTCAGAAATTATACTAAGAATCTTGATCAAATGATCCACTGTTGCCTAAAAAATAATTTTTTGTTTGGCTGACATTTGCATTGCAAGCCCTGGTTCTGGAAGGGGAAGAAAAACTTGCTTTTTAACACCTACTGAAATAATTTGTTACCCTACATAAATGGAGGGAATACATAAAAACTTGAGAATATTTGTATTTAAAGACTTATTTCTGTATGTTTCACTGTTAGTATGTAATAATAAGTATTTTGGTGTCTACGAATAAATATTTTTTGTTCAGAAACAGAACTTGATTAAAAGTTTTAATATTTCTCTGTGGAAAGTGTAACTTTTGTTTTTTAAAAAAAAAAAAAATAGTGGGAAAAAGTATTACTTTTCTCCAGAGCTAGTTGTGTATTTTTCTTTGGTAATTTCAGACATTTAAAATATTAATCACTTGAACAGTGCCATTGGAAGTTCATTAGGTTAAATTTCCACATGAACCATGGTAAATGCATGGGAAACAGGTCTGTGTGTAGTTTCTAGCCTGACAAGGATGAGCTGAACTAATTGTCTGATGCTTGAAACCTCTTCACATTTTTCAATACTTTATGTTCAGTGTTTGCAGATGCAGGGAAAGCAACTTTATGGCATATGGTTAAGGATGAAGCCATAATACAAGTCCAGTATTTTACTATTTCCACAGTATATAATAGCTACTTCATAGTCCAAAAAGGTGAATAACACTTTAGTTCTTGGTAGTTTTTAAAGACCCTATACAGTTACTTAAATAACGAATGGCTGGGAGTTTTCCCCACAGCAGCACATTTTTCCCCTGAAATACATTAAAAGTTAAATTAATCTTTCAAAACCAAACATTTTGCAATGCAGCCCACTTTCTGACCATGTATTCTGCTTCAGTCTGCTTTCTGCATTTCTTTTAATATGTGTTCATTTTGAATGCTTACACTTATGTGTTAAAGTTAGAAGTTCTGAGTCTATGTATGTTCTGTCAGACCATAAAATGAATTAAATGATCTAATGTAGCATAACCAAATGCAACAGCTGCATAAGATTATGCCCTGGAACTTGGAAATAATTCAGATGTCTTGTGTTAAACTGATACATTCACATAAGCATGGATCAGTTACTTCTGAGAATCTACCTGGTAGGGAACATACATGCTTCCATGCAAACTTTGATGTTGAAAAAACTACATGTCTTAATGTTGTTTGGCATGTTTGAGCAGCTTAATGCCTAACTTGTTATACAAGAATAGGTTCTGAGTAAGATATTTACCTGGACTTTTAATCAGCTTAGAAGGAAATGAAAATACTGTTTCAGAAATTTCCTGATGTTCTGGGCAAGCAGCTTAAAAAAATATAAACTGTTTATCCAAAGTATCGTAGAATGATAGCCTAATATGTAAGACCTAAAAATGACAAATACTAGAGTTGGGAAATAGTTTTAGGGTGTTTTAATTAGACACATTATGTCACAGGTTCCCAGGTTTAGATGGTTAGGTAGTGTCATAACCACTATGAGATAAAGCGGTAGAGACTCAGGGATCAGTTTAGACAGACCACAGTCTCAAACCCTTCCTGCAAGTCTAGAGTTGCTTGTAGTGACTGGGGCTGCTGAAATACCCAAATGCAGACCTTGGAAAATAAGCGAGGGAGATTGTGATTACAGATGCTAGTGCCTTAAAATACATTATTTAACTCTTTGTGAACTGTCAGTTCAGTAGACTGACACTTCATTTGGTTCTGTCATGTTTCTGTGTCACCCAGTTTTGGGTCTCAGATTTCTGTAGATGTGGCATTGTTTACGTTCTGGCATGCTGATGTTTTATTGCATCTGCAGGAGACAATGTGCAACTATTTATAGCAACACAACTTCATCATCATCTTGTCAGAAGTACTCAGGGCTGTGGATAGGGCTTCAATACCATTTTGCACTTAATGCCATCCTTTTTCTTCTGTTTTTCTTCTTTTTCCAGACTGATCCCCATGAAAAAAAAAAAAATCAAAAAACAACCAAAAAAACTCGAGCTTAGTCTTTGATTTTTTTACTTTTAAAAGTGTTTAAAGGAACAGAATGCCAATTTAAAAGAGCAAAATAAAAGAGTAACTAGAATTTTTAACTTTCACTGAGAAACTACTATGACATGGGTGGTCTTACCCCCAAAATATTGTATCACTTAGAAATATTAGAGTTCCAGGGATGAGGAAGTGTGGAAGGTAATATGTATTTGGCATTTTTTAACTTT